CACTGAAGCTACAACAACACCTGAGGAACTCTGAGGAACAAGTTCATCTGCTGGTCCAGATAGAGAGAGAAGCTCGTGCTAACTGCTAAGCGAAAGTAACTAGCTGATCTGAAAAGCATGTAAACAACTGCTGAGTTAGTGAAAGTCACTAAAAGCAGCAGAGAGTTCTGGTTGCTGGAGCAGAACTAGTGTAAGTTTAAATGTACAGCAAGTAGTTAGACACTGTGATGAAGAAAACAGCAACATTAACTGTGTTCAGACAGAGCAGCAATAAACTCTACCAGTAACAGAAACTCCAGAGACTGGAGAGGAGACACTACACTGACTGCAGCACATCAGCAGGTGAACGGTCACTAACTACTGTTACTGAAAAGACATTTACTACAGAAGAAGTAAAATCACTGTGTGATAATGTTCTCAGATAAAAGTACAATGTACTTGTCTCTGTGTAAACGTGTTCCATTTCCCCTCTCCAAGGGGAGGGGTAAAACATGTTATATGGTGATAATAATAATATATGATAAAACTATTAAATTAAAGAGCATCTTTAGGCTGCCATGTTAATCAGTTCATAGGTGAGAACAGCACCAAAATCTAACTATTCATTCCAGTCAGTTTCTTTGCAGTCTGAAACAGAGTGAATGTCCACTGTGAGGTGATGAACTGTTTTTGATGTAGGTGAGAATGTAATGTGATGTAACTGAATAATGATATTCATTCAAATATTAGAGCAGATCACCAGATTTCTTTTTATCCCCCAATGTTCTATAATAGCTGAGAGTTTACTTCAGCTGAAAACTTTAAAAACTGTCAAACTATTCAAATTATTTCAGAAGCATCAGTCATTAATCATGTGCTACTACATCATTTAAAACAAGCTCTGACACAATATATTGTTAACCATTGATGACCAATTTACAGGGGTGAAACAAGCTCCAGTGCCTCTGTGCATCACTTCTGAAAACTCAAAATTATTATAACTAAACAGGGAGAACTTGTTACTGATGGAAAATCGTTCAGTCTACACTAGTGGTACACTACGGCTAAGTTCCCTGTCTTACCTCCTGTGCTACCTCTTTGTATTCCTGCTAATGCTTTCTCTGCCACAGTTCATCATCTCCTGTTGACTGTCACGTCCAGCCCCATCCTCATCCTGTTTGCCTGGTTTGGATTGTTCCCACCTGTCTGAAAACTGCCTCAGTCCCTCAAGTCCACCAACCCAGCCTCTGCTAACTTTGCAAGTTTTTACAATAAATAATAACCTTAAAATCTCAACTGTTTCTATGTCTGTATTCTGCACTTTGGGTCAAAGAAAACGACTGCCTTCAACAGAACATCAGGCCAACATGGACCGAGCAGGCACAGCCACAGAATCCACAAGCCTACAGAAAGCCATTTAGAGCCGGGGCATTTTCTTAGGCCACCAGGAATACATCCTTCAGGCTCTTGCAGAAAACAATCAAGCCATGGTTGTTACGGTTAGACTCTGCCTCTCCCCCTTTCCCATTGTGGCTGCTGTGTTTCCCTCCCTTTTTGTCTGTCATTTGTCTCCAGTTTGTCTCTGTCCCTGTCTCTGTGAGATCAACAGTAGTGGGTACCGCCACTACAGGGAGCCTCCATATTCACCAAACATGACCTTAGAAACACCTACCGACGTGGGGAGTAGGGTTGTCAAAAAATTACTCGATACTCAGATACTAATCAATACTAAAAATTAGTATCGGATTAGATACTCATTTGCAACATTATCGATACCAACAGTGCCGTCTTCGCCTCCTCCTCCGACACACAACTTCATACAGCACCACTGCAGACATGCAGGCACACAGCCCCTCCTCTCACTAGCAGCTGAACACATGAGCGCTAGTTGACGTTTACAACACTGAGCTGGTATCACCAGCATAAAACTAAATTAGCATGGCAAGTGCTGCTGCTGAAGGACCTTCGAAACCTGTTTTAGTTGAAATTGGAAAAAGTTCCTTGGAATTATTTTGCATTATTATTTTACCTGGCCAGCAACACACGTTAAAATTCGCCATTTAAGTATGAGCCACATTAGCTGTCTGTTAAGTTATCATTAAGCTAGCGGCTAGTGGCTATGACTAATGTGGGAGCAAGGCAGCAAACATTATCAGTACTGCTTGTCTGTAACATTAATAGACAGTGTTTTATTTATTATTAAGTCCCAAATTGAAGCTGAGAAAAGTCGACCAGCAACTACACAGAAACAGCGACAGCCTACCCTAACAACTCTATTTGATCAGCAACAAAAGTCACCAGAAGCAGAGAAAATAAACAGGGCTGTAAATGAATAATTTGCATGTCATATATATATATATATATATATATATATACAGTTTACAGTAAGGTTACGGTTGTTGTTGTTTTTTTACACTACCTCAGACAACATTGATGTCAATGACAAGTTGACATTGACATCAATCTTGTCATTGATGTTATTGTTTGTATTCTTCTAATCTTTATTTTAAAAAAGGGTTAGGGTCATTTTTCTCCCCATGGTATGGAAAATGGTATTGAGCATTGAGTATTTTCCTGGGTATCGGTATCGAGTTTGAATTTCTAGTATCGTGACAACCCTAGTTGGGAATAGAGAACTGTTAGTGGTAAAACTAGCATTTTAAAAGTAGAGACACTGACTGGAGAGGGCTAAACAACCATTTTGCAACCAATGCAAAACAAGCATTGTTTAGACAGATCATAAAAATTTCCACCTGCTGGTTTTCCACAACCTTTGCCAGTTCCAAGTCATCCATGGTCCATTATTGCTCTGGACTTTGTTTCTTTGTTTTTCTGAAGCTGTCCATTTTGTCACCCTTCCCAAGTTGCCCTTCCACCTGTATGATATCCCACTGAACATTGTGTGTGATCAAGGTCCACAATTCATCTCTCAGCCATGGAGGGGCTTTTGTCAAGCTTTAGGGGCATCTGTCAGTCTTTCCTCTGGTTTAAATGGTCAGACAGAGAGAGACAATCAGGACCTGGAGGTGGATCTGCAATATGTAACTGCTAACAATGCGTTCTCCTGGGGCACTCAGCTGACTTGGATCGTATACACCCACAACTGGCTTATCAGCACAGCCACAGGTCTGTCACCTTTTGAATCCTCTTTAGGCGGCCAACCTCTTCTGTTTCCTACCCAGGAAGGTGAAATCATAGTCCACTCTGTCCAGCATCTCCTTCATTACTGCCATAGACAATGGAGAGACAGCCCTTCTTTGTTCCACAGACAAAAACCATTGCCTGACTGACCCCTTCCACCTGATTAAAAACCAAGTCAGAAAGTTTTTCAATACAGTTACACACCAGAAACAAAGTCCAGAGCAATAAGGGACCAGGGATGACTTGGAACAGACAAGGTTTGCAGATAACCAGCTGGTGGACGATGGGAGACTTTACCCTGAGTGTGGGTGGTGCGCCTCGAGTGTCAGCATCCACAGAAAGCCACCAGAAATGTCTCTATAAAAGAGACAGGGTGTGGTTGATGCCAGGGTGACAGGAGAAACGAGAGGTACGCACCCAGTTGAGGACTTGTGAGCGAGCAGAATCAGGGACAAGGAGAACCATTACCTGGGTCATTTTGCAAGTACTGAGCCTCTCTCACTACCAACTTGATCTCCCAGGTAAGAGGCTTGTGACTCAGAATCTTTTAGCACCTGCTGACAGGACAGAGCATTGGGTTTAATGTTACATGAACCAGGCCTATAAATTAATGTGAAGCTAATCCTGCTGAAGAATAGAGCCCAGTGAGCCTGAGGAGAGTTGAGAGGATTAGCAGACTGTAAACAGGCTAGGTTTTTATGATCTCTACAAACAATAAATGGTTGTTCAGCCCCCTCCAGCCAGTCCTCCACTGTACTAATGCTAGTTTTACTGCCAGCAATTGTCTATTCGCAACGTCATAGTGACGTTTAGCTGGAGAGTCGGCCAGCACACTGCAAGAGCACCACACCCACTCCAGTGTCGGAGGTGTCTGCTTCCACAACGAACCAGCGACACGGATCATGGTGAAAGAGAATGCGCGGAGATGAGTACACAGACAGACAGTTACAGACACAAACTGGGGACTAATGACAAACAAAAAGGGAGGGAGACACAATTGGAAAAAGGGAGAGGCAGAGTCCAACAACACGCCCATAACTCCTTCATTAGGTCTCTGTTATCATCCACCACTATTTCCTTCCCAGGAGGATCACAGTTCGCTCAGTCCAGTGTCATTTACACCACTGTCAGAAGGTCTGGAATAATGAAGACCTTCAACGTTCAGTGTCCAGCAACGGATCCCAGCTCCCTGAACCAGGTCAGAAGGTTTCATTATCTTCCAAAAATATCCCTTAAAGAACTTAATCCAGGAAACTGTTACTCTATTACATTGGGCCATTTGTCCTTGAAAAGGTTATCAATTATCACTCTACAGTCAAACTCAAGTTGCCAAGTTCCATGAGGATTCAACCCACAGTCCTTGCCTCCACCAACCCAATCTCTGCCAGCTTTGCAAGATTTTACAATAAAAAACTTAAAATGTCTGCTGTTCCTGAGTCTGTGTTTTGCCCTTTGGGTCCAATAAAAAGTACTGCCTGAAACAATTTGAATGGTTTTTCATCATTTCTAAATCAGTAATGCAGCGCCACAAAATACATTTCCCTGAAATCCTGTGTTGCACTAATTTTTGCACTGTGTGTGCACTGATTTCCCTCTGCACATCAAATGTAGACAATACCACCTTAACACACAATTCATTTGGACAGGAAGAAAACAGAAAACACCCCGCCATCTGTGATGGCTGGGCTATACTGATCATTAGAAATGTAAAACATACACAAACAAACACACACACACATACAGAGAGAGAGAGAGAGAGAGAGAGACAGAGAGAGAGAGAGAGAGAGAGAGCAGAGCTATCCTCTCCTCTCATTAATCATTACTGCCCATCAGCTCTGTCACTTAGGAGCCGTATAAGCCATTAGGCCAGTGCTACTCACCCTGTTAGGACCACCACAAAGTCCATTACATTCCAGCCATTACGTAGGTAGGAGCCTTTGTGAAAGGCAAAGCCCAGGGCGATGATCTTGATGCCAGCCTCAAAACAAAATATTCCAATAAAGTAGGGCTCTGTGTCGTCCTGTTAGGAAAAAAAGGAGATTATAGTAAGGAGGATTCATAAAGTTACTAGTTGGCTGTATCAGTAAAATCAGATGTTGAAAAGTAAAATGAAGAGTATAATTTTCGTCAACAGTTTCAGGGTCACTGATGTTATGTCCTCTAATTTGTTAGTTGCAGCTTTGGACCTGAGGGTGTCCAACCATAACAAAATGTGTGTATTTAATTGCGTGATTCAAGTATTTTTAGTTTCAGTATATTTAAGTTTGACTCTGTTTAAGCCAAAGAAATATATAGCTAGATAAGGGTATCACTGCTTCACCACAAATGAATATGAATGAAGACAGAGTAGAGAGGGTTTTAAAAAAAAAAAATTAAACTTTGAAGAAAATATAATTGATCAGTTCAATACACAAAATATCAAAATTACAAATAATCAAAAACAAAAATTAAACACATTCTTTTTGGTGTCTGGTTAGATTTTTTTGAGGGGGGTCCATTGGGGGGCACATCCTAGCTACAGCCCTGGTCAAGAACTACTTAGTAGTAATCCAGTTGCTTTTCTCTGTTAAGAAATTTGAGTTTAAATATGTAATATACATATATATATATATATATATATATATAAACAATGTTATGACAATATGTGTCTGTAGCATCAAGTATCGAAAACTACTGAAATCTGTCTCAGAATGTCTGTTTACTTTCTCCCTCTTCCTCTTTGATGACATCCTCCTTGATTTAAATCATCATTTGATGATTTTAGATTATTTTTCAGCTTGTGTTAACATTTAACAAATCCTGTTATATTTCTCAAAGTAAGGGTGTATTTGGACTGACATTACCACTGTGGAAAAAGGGCAGTCACCTAATTCATTTCAATAAGACCACTACCTTGGTATAGTGGGTGGCCTGACACAGGGCTACAGCCAAAAACACAGTGTCATTAGCAAAAAGTAGAACCTGACTCTTCTTTGGCCACAAACACAATGTAACATTATCCAACAAGGTGCTGCGTTGGCCAATCAGCCTCATGCAAGTGCATATTCCTGGTTAACTTGTAACATGACCTAGGTATTTGTACTATTTTTTTTTTTTTTTTTTGCAGTTCTGGAAACAAGTTAACTTTACATAGTTGTAAAGTTCTTTCTTGAACTATTATAAATTTCTAACAGTGTTATGGCATCGATAAGCCTACAAACACAAAGATCCATTACTAAAACATGCCTTACTGGATAGATTTTCAGCGTCAGTGAAGCCACTCACTAACTTCTTACCAGAGAGAACTTAAATTCATTCCGAGCGTTTTGCTAGAAAGCAACTCCATAACACAGCTTCCATAACTACTGTCCCCCAAAAAAGAAATGACTCATAAACACTAGCAGCAACCTGCCATCATAACACAAGAAAAAAAACATTATGCATGTCCTGATACATAACTGCATGTCAACACAGTATACCACACTAATCCTAATCAGACACCAGATATAGCTGATACACCATAGTGTCTAGACATACCATACACTGAAACAATGTGCTATTATAGTGAGAAAACACAGCAATCCACATTGTCACATATTTTCCTTACTCTAATTCAAAACCTTCAAACAAATCAGTTAACAATAAGTGACAATGTGGATTAGTGTAAATCTTTGAAACAAACTGACTGTCTAACAGTTCTTCGAGAGTGAGAGACAGTCTGTTGTGGCTTATTGATGCCTGTAACATGAACAGTTCCTGTGCCACCAGCGGCCAGTGGTTCCTCAGCCACACAGTCCACATCTAGTGACCCTTCATCCTGCAGTGAAGGAGCATGAAGCCAAGAGGCGACTAAAAGAACCATGTTCGACTACTTGTTCCTGTCCACTAGAGTTCAAATGAGAGCCAACACGAAAGGTGAGTCCAGGTTCAACATGAGAGTCCAACACACCCAAGACCCTGTTGGGTTCCTTCCAGTGGGGAGGCAGTCTCATACGGTCCAATGTAGGATTATGCAGCAATACCAGATCCACTTCTGCATACAGCTAGTGACGGACTACTCCATCATAGTTCTTGTGGGTATCAGCAGCACACTGCCTGACATCCCGGAAAGCAGTCTCCACCCTCCACCAGGGAAGTCAATGTCAGCATGGGAAAAAGGTAAGTCCAAGTGCACCACCAAGTTAAATAGTAAGAAATGCAGTTGGTGCCGCCATGAACAGACGTGTTATAGACGAAAACCATGTTACAGATAATCTGCAGGTGAGCAGGGATTTGGTGCGTGTTTTCTTAACCTCTAAAAATTGACACAATCTCAGCTTCAAACTGCCAGCCCCAATCACTGTAAACCACTCCCTATGTACTAGCACCTATTATTCAAATTAACAATTTGCTAACAATTGGGCCGTTTGACTAGGAAGAGTTTAGATTTACAAAGTAGTCATCTACTACTAACACATATCTGTTTCCCTTAGAAGTCACTGGTAATTCAACAATGTCAGTTGTCACTCTCTGGAATGGCACCATTGGTGCTCATTGCTTAGATACAGTGGTCCTGTGACTTTGACATGGGATGCACAGCTTACCCCACTGTTCAATATCTTTCAAACATAGAGGGCCAGTAACAAGTTTGGCATGCTTGCTCTGATGCAGGGCTTCCATGAACGTGCTGCAGAACATTAGGAATAAGCAAGGAGGACACAACCACTTGAGACTAAGCGTTCTCTGTGAGGGAGGAATTCATGATACGGCAGAGTAGTTAACAGTAGAGAGTAGAGTAGTAGTTAACAGAAAGACAACAATATCTGGTCCATAAGGTGGTCGAGATCCACTCCTCTCACTCCACTCCTCTCAATCCAATCCAACACCTTAGCAATATCTGGATTGGCCTGTTGCAGCTCTTTCATTCCAGTGCTATCATGTCAAAGTGCATAAAAACAAGTCATCAAACTCATTGTCCATTTCCATACTCTGCCCCCCTGTGGTGGGTTCAGAGGACTGAGGGTTCACAGTGGTTGAGTGGGTGGTTGTGTCTGTCTGGGGAACACTAGACTCCTGGTCCAAGTTACTTCCTGTGAAGTGTTATTTACCATGTTGGGCTTGAGATCCTGAGGTTACCAGAAGAAAGCCTCAGCATTAGAATGCCTGAGCCAGTCTCTACATTGCCTTTGTCGAGGTTTTTCCTGCATAGATAATTGCGAGGCGGCCACTTCCATCAAATTTCGTGCCGCCTCCACCTCCCGACAAAATTCTAGTATTGTTTTCTTGGTACTCGGTGGATTTGACGTTTGTAACTGCAATTGCAGCTGTATGCCACTACGGCAATGCTAACGCGCTGGATCAAAGATCCTCTACACATGTAGATTTCTCTACTGTCTCTGGCTGGATTTCCTGCCTATGGAAGGAGGCGGCGACCTGATTTGAGTGCAGACATAATTAGTTCTTCAATTATGCGGAAAAAAAAGTTAATTCATGTCACTGAGGAGATACTGAAAGTAGGCCTGGTTCTCAGCCACAAGTGGAAGGTGCCAGTGGAAGGCTCCCTTCTTAGATGAAGTTAGATTCATTCAGAGCATCTTGCTAGGTGAGTCAAAATCATTCAGATCAATCATATCAGTACCATTATGGTCTTGATACTGTAAATCAAGTATCATATTGGCATTAGTATTGAAAGATGAGGTGATTAATTGATTATTCAATTGATAGGAAATTAATTGAAAACTACTTCGATAATCAATAAATTATCTCCAGACCAAAAAATTCAGTCGTTCCAGCTTTTCAAATGTTGGGAGTTGTTGCTTAAGCAATTTTTAAAATTGATTTATGGAGAAAAAAATTGGCAGATGAATCAACAATGAAAATAACTAGCATTTAGCACTAGCACACACAGAGACACATTTCCCTGACAAGAGTCAAGAAATACTGACTTGTCTTCAAAATGTTTACTGGGGCTAGGTAATAATAATAATAGCTAGTAGGCAAGACAGAAAAGCTGTAAAGGAGATTTCATCATGCTGCAGGACAATACTAATCACTTTATATCATCATGAACTCTGTGGCATGTCTGTCAGACAGGGTGTGAGCCTGTCTCAGAGAGGGGATCAATGAAAGCTGGCAGCTAGGGGGTCTCAGGAGTGACATTTCATTCTTAAAACAGCCCTGCCCCTGCCACCCCCAGCTCTTTGACTGGACAGTGAGGCGCACAACACTGGCTTCTTTAATGGCAAGATTTAACAAGAGAGCTGGGGCAGGGGTAGGGCACAGCAGGGGTAACCAGACATAATTATACACAGTGGGGATCAAAGGCAGTTCTGCAGGGTTTTGCTGAACCTACAGTGCTGAGAGGGTCCGTATCACTGAGCAAAAAATAAAACATATAACATATTCAAAATGTTGTTGAGAAATGAATGTGTCACTAAACAGTGTCACTATTGCTGCACATTTTCAGCTCTTATTAAAACATTTGCTATTTTCACTGAATGTATTCTGGCACTGAATTGTTCAAATCCATGAACACGTGGACTGGAAAAAGAGGAAAGATTGGATTAAGCAGAGCATAAGTCTATTACTTCACTGCAGCAGTCAGAGTCCGCAGCTGAAAACAACCAGACCACCTCTGTGAGCTGCTCTGCAAACTGGAGCCACTTCTTACAGAGAGATATCAAAGACACTCATACCAAAATGTCTCAAAACAAAAATAACAGCAAAACATCACTGTGGTTGCAGTTTATTATCTTTTCTACTCTATAAGACATGAAGGGCTGTGCAGGAGGAAATAAAAATGAGGTATGTGGCTACTCACCAAACGCTCTGACATCGGTGTTTTGTCTAAGGCCGGAAGGTGTTGTTCCAAAGCCAGCACAATGCAGTTTGCGATGATGGTGGCCAAGATCATGTACTCAAATGGAGTAAGAGCATTAAGGAACTCATGTGGAAAGGAAATTCACAGTTTGCTGCACATGCAAACAACAAACCACACATTAAACATCTACATAAAAACATCAGAAGATGAAAAGCAACAAATCAAAAAAAAAAAAAACATCCTGAACATGTCAAAAACATAACTGGGAACAAACCTACGTCACCTGACTTGTTGCTTGGTGTTTGTTGATGTATCTTTCTAACAAAAGACCTGATGCCCGACTTTACACCGGCACAAAGCAGCGCCAATGCAACCCAAGCTAGTTTCAGACCAACGCTGTTGTCATTTTCCCATTCAACACCCCAATGTTAAAACAGCAAATGCACTTGCACCCATCTGGGCCGCATGGGCGAGATGTTTCCTCTTTTTTACTTCCTGGCAAATCTGCCATTATAAAAAAAATCCACAGCTAAGCACACCTAAATCTCAACTGACAACCTGTTGAAATGTTACAAATACTCAGTAAACTGTCTGTAGGCAGGTGTTACTCTACTACCTGCTAAAACAGTATGCAATAAAGATTAGTATATAGTAGTTAGTAGGGCTGCACAATCTGCAAAAAAATCATATTGCCATTATTTTTGCCAGATATTGTGATTTCAGTTGAAATTATAATTTTTTCATTTAATTTTCACTGAAAAAAATATAAAAATGATGATGATGGGATTGTTGTTGGTCTTGTACCCAACAGATGTGTTCCTTTACATCTGGAGAATATGATTTGTAAGTCTGGGCGTCTATGTAACACCACAACACTTATGGTGCTAACAATGCACAACAACATGACACATTTGACCTTCATCAGAAAAAATTAGAGCTCCTATGATTTGGATATTGCACTTGGTCATATTGTGATATCTATTATGTTTCAATTAATTGTGCAGCTCTACTAATGACTGCATACAGTTTGGATCGAGTATGAAATTGGGACACAGCATTACTTGAAGAGGACTGAAGGCGTCCCAGTTTCCTATTGAATTTTTCACGTCACAAAGCCTAATGACATCACCAGTTATTTTTTTCAGACTTTGGAAAGCTCCGTCCACAGCCACAGAAGACATCATGACACTGAGTTGACAGATGATTTTTTCTCATGACAAGTGACTGAACTTAATGTGTAGATCTACAATTAGCTAGTTAACTAGTTGTATTTGCATAGAGACAAGTTCACACATCTTTTGCAATAATCACCTTTCTGCCTGCAGTGCCTTTACACAACTTCAAGAAATGACACACAGATTTGTACAGATTCTTTGGTATCTCACTTCCCTGCACCACTCCAACTTCCCCTCAAGACTGGTCCAGCTCTGCCAGGAGAAGGGAGGAAGGGGGGGGGGTTAGGGGGCATCCTCGGGACAGGGAGCCGGCCAATGGACTCCAGCTGCTTGGGGCCACAATAGATCATCCTGTGGCGCTGTCATGATTGCTCTGCGTCAGGATAAAGACTCAGTAAGGCAATGCGACATTAAAGCTTTATAAATGTTTGTTCAGCACCAGGGGTAATCAAGCAGTGACTTAAGTAATGGAGGCTATTACACAACTTAATGTGAATTAATTGCAACACCTTTAACACTCATTAACATATGAGGCATTTAACATTGACTTTTCCTTAAAAAAAAGTATGCAAATCTACAGCAGTGAGAAGTTATTTTGTTGGTGAGTCGATACACTAAACTCAACAGGTGGCAGCCACACTCACACAATCCTTCACTGCAAGCTAAATCAATTAGAAATGAACCAGCAACTCATTTGAAATGCATCCTGCTGCATTTTATAGCTATGGCTTGTTTGTTTGGTGTCACACCCATGCAGACTGCCACTGCCTTGATGCTGAGGCCAGCTTGCTGTTTGCTGGGAGTTCAGCACTCTGGACAGCACCATCTGCAGACTACAGCCATGACAGTGAAATGACACGTCTACCACGTGAACCTCCACACTGATGTCATAAAGTCTATAAATTAACTTAAAACCCTAGTTTATGTACTTAATACCTTGACCCAATTCATGCCTGTTCTGACCAGGCTCCACCTGCCCTCAATAGAGACAAACAACAAGAATCTTCCTGGATTAAGATCAGCTGAGACAAATTCTGTATCCAGTGAGAGTCTAAAAAACTAGGATACCTTGTCAAGAAACCCCTGTAACAGCAGACTATAAGATCTTTAAGAACACCAAGCAACATGTCCTGCACCCAGCATTCATACCTCATTTTACTAATAACTTATTTCTTGAAAGAAATGACACCAAGATCCAGGTGTGACTTTAAGATGCATAGAAGAAAATGGTTGAAGACCTTCTCTGGAATAAGATCTTATTCTACAGGAAACGGACTGAGGATTTAAGTCTGTGGAAACAACAGAAGAACCAACTGTGGAAGTTTTAGATTTTACTGATATAAATTAAAGTGATTGAATATCGTATATATGTAGAATTAAAGGCTTTTATGGACACATTTTTTGGCAGAGTTCGGCGCGGTGATCTCGGGTGAGAGCAGTATGAGGGTAAGACTGGGCAGGAAGGATATGGCCATTCGGTGATCTTTTTGGCATATTTCCGTATGATGTTGTCCTCGCTGAAGATGAACAGAGAGCGGTTAACGGTGAGGCAGTTCTGTTTGACTGGGATGGGGTTGTAAATGGCCATGGTCCTGGCTCTCTGGGCCATCGTCTGTTTGTACACTCTCTGGCCCCCCGGAGGCCCCGGCTGCCGGCTGGCCCCTCTGGCCGGGCCCGCGGGACAGCTGCCTCCATAGCGACTGGACAGTTCGTCTTCAAAGCGAGCCATTCTGGGATAGCAAAGATCTTGCTGGAGAAACCAAAACTGACAACAGAAAAGAAATGGAACAGAAGCATCACAACACACACTGTCGTCCCGTCCTCCAGGTCCTTTCGGTGCGTGAGTCGCCCGCGAACAGAGGAGTCAAACATTCACAACAAGACAAGCAGAGGGAGGCTCGTTTTCCTCCGTGTCAGGCTGTTCCCTCCGCAGCTCCGCCGCCTCCCGCGCTGCCTCTCTCTCCGACATGAAATTGTTGCTCAAAGTTCAGATGCTCAGACTCCATGATGCATCATTTTTCATCGGTGTTCCTTCCTCGTCTGCCTGCCCCGGTTCTCCGGGAGTAAATACACAGGCGTCAACGCTACAAGTCCATGCTAGATACAGGATGCGCCTTCCACCAAACCCCGGGTAAAAAAAACTGAAAAAGACTACGACACAGAAAATGCTGAGAACCGTCACAGTGAAGAGTCGAGATGTATTTTCCTCCAGAAAAACGATTCCCTAAAGAGTCGTTTTCACTGCGAGTTGACCGCTGGACGTCGGACGGGTCCTCTGTGAACCGCCTCGCCCTCGGTCCCCGGGTACACACCACGCCGCCGTCACTTTCTTTCAACCGTTAACCGAGGAGGAAGCACGGCTGAGCGACTTGTTTCCATGAAGTGGCCGTTAATGTGCATGTAGGGGTATCACTTTCTCCGCTGCTCCTCATCCTCAGGCCCCCACGTGATCGACAAGACGCCAGCCAGTGGCTCCACCTGGGCCGGCCCTGTTTCCATAGCAACAGGGAGGAGAGACAGAGAAACCTAGGAAGCTGTTCAACATACGCAGGACATAGATGGGACCCAGACAACAGCCAGCAACACCAAGAGGCGGCAACAGTGAAGAGATTAAAGAGTTTCTAGAAAAGCCCAGCCCTGCTCCTGCTGACTGTAAGGCTGCTCAGAGTATAAATGACATCTTCAAGAGCACAGCCAATAATGATTCAAAACCACAGACAAGCAGATGAAAACAACAAAAAAGAAGCACTGGTTTGACAAAAACCTGAAGACATGTAGTGTATTATCCACTTCATTTCCTTTGATTTCAACATACTAAATTGTTGTATGTTTTTCTTTTATGTATGTTTTACTCTAAAGTTCTAGGAGATTGTNGAATGGTTTATAACTAGTTTATTAATTTTAGCCTGTTACGACTTAATAAGGGTAATCTGATTGTGAAGTGGTGCAAACTCCTCCTGGAACCAGTGGACCTCTCTGTCAGTCTGAGTCTGAGGAGCTGCACCTGCAGGACGGACACATATGGACCAAACATGTTCAGACCTTATTTGGGCCAACGCCAGGAACTGACTTA